TGCAGGCAAAATCCCCATACATATAAAATTAAAAACAATAAAAAAATTAAAATACCATTTGGTTCTTTATAGAAAATATTTGCCTACCAATTTAATATCAAGAAGAAAATAGGTATGTCTAGGCAAAGGGATTACAAGCAAACCAAAACCAAACATTGTCTGAAAATTGACTAGGTCCTTCTGCTTGCAACTGGGCTGTCTCCTCAATCTGGTGTCCACATTTTTTCAAAGCAAATTCATCTGCTAACATGTAGAGTAATCCAAATTACATGTATGACTTGAAAATCACCTCGTTCCTGTAATATTTGGACATTCTTCACCATAGCTGATCAGAGATTATATTTATAGACAAATAGACTTTCAAGACCTTGGTTACATAAAACAATTACACAAAATAGGTATCAAGTATAATTTTACTGCTACTAAATACAGAGCATATTTCTATTGTAGTAAACGATTTTCTTTCTCCAGTTTTACCCCAAGATTTACTCATCTTAGCTATCCAGAACTCCTTTTGTTACTTGAACTGCTAATTGAAGATTGACGTGCCCAGATCCTCAGGTGAGATTTCATTTGCTAGAACTGAATCAGAAGGTATATGACTTGGTTGCAAACACAGGAAACTGTAGATTTTGGGAATATGGAGCACACCACATTCAGTTTATATGAGGTGTTCTCGTTGTCTCCTATACCTGATCTGTTTTTTATTATTATTATTATTATTATTATTATTATTATTATTATTATTATTATAAGACCAGTTAACCAAAGGGAAATAGAAGAGGGAGGAAAAGAAAGGACAGACCAAAAGCCTTATATAGTGAATTTTCTCTGATTCAACCTTGCCTCTTGGTGACTTCTGTCTTAATACACAGCAGTCAAGTCTGGTCTTTGTACTTGGCACATTGTTGATAAAATGTTCTCATTTCATTGTGTGCTTTCTCCCAAGCAGCTTAAACAAGTATGACTCTTGGGAGTCAGGTTTTATATCTTACTGTCTGGTGAAGCCCACTAGATATTCTGTGGCATGCCTGTGGCCTTTCTTCTAATACACAGTTATACACAGGCATAGAAATAAGAGACTACTGGATGCCATTTCCTTTACTGCAAGGGTGGATCTCAAGGGAATTTCCCATCTGGCATCAATTGTTAGAAAAGGAAGGCTAAATGACTTGTTTAGGAGGACCCCTCCATCCGTCCATCTGTTCGTCCGTCCACCCATCCACCCAATCACCCAATCTCTGTCTGTCTGAGGAAATATTACTCTGTATCCCAGGCCACCTATGTTAATGGTTAGACAAGGAAAGCCAAATGACTGGTGTTTTGGAGGAACCATTTATTCGTTTATGAAAATATTGCTATGTAGATGTTTAAGAGGAACCATCGAACCATCCATCCCATCCATCCATTCATCCATCATCTATTCCTCTATTTGAGAAAATATTACTATGCAGCACAGGCCAGCCAATCAATCCCTTTATTTGAGAAAATATTACTATGCAGCGCAGGCCAGCCAACGTCACTGTATAATTCAAGCTGGCTCACACCCTTCCTGCCTTAACTTTCCTTTTGAGTGCTGAGACTATGGGTAACAACCATCTTAATGAAAGGAAAAGCCAGCTGATATTATTTACACAAATTTCAATTAAATTCTGTAGCTTATACATTCCACTTTAGAGCTTGTTAAGCCAGTTATTTGCTAAAATGAGAGTGCAATACCATGCATGGTTGGCAGTTTTGAAAAATGGCGTTGATTAGCCAGGGAGGGGGACACTTACACTGGCATAATTAGTACATTATGTCCAAGAACCAAGGAAGGTAACACTTTAATATAGCATAGTCCCCATTAGACCTACTGTTTGTGGGTAAAGAATGTTTCTTCTCAAACATGGATGCACAAGTCTGTTATGTTCTTGATCCTTTTAGTTAAAAACAGTTTGGAGATACAAAAGCAACCCCACTAAGGAACACAATGCCCTTTAAAATAATATCTTAAATAACATTTTTACAACCACTAAGTAGATGTTCTGTCTGCTATTTTCCATACTAATTCTTTGATTTATAAAATGCTGCCTTGGGATTGAGGGTTTAGCTCAGTAGTAGAATTCTAGCTTAGCATGTACAGTGTCTGGGTTGCATCTCCAGCACAGCAAAAAGCAAAACAAAACAAAAAAATTTTGGAGTCCTTGTCAAAACCTAGCAGGTGGAAGACTTGGAGTCTAGTGTTGATCTGAGATTTTCATTTCTTTTCTGCTCTTGATGTAGCAACTCAAAATACTGTTTATGTTTGTGGGCTGTTACAGTTGCAACTTATGCTGTAAAACCTGGAGTGTATCTATGCATTTATCAATCATATGTAGTCTAATTTACTTCATTTTCTTTCTCTTAGACCTTCTGTCTTTTTTATGAGCCAGACTTTTAAAATGCAAATACAAAAAAAAAAAAAAAAAAAAAAAAAACCCTTTTAATGAAATGATTACTACCAGTGGTAGTAATTAGTGTTAAACTATGTACGATTTCTATTCTATAGACTATAGTTGGCTGAGCTGTTGCAACTTAAAGGCTATAAAGTATTAGTGTTTGCTGAAAAGAACCATGAGGAGTGAAAACACACTTAAAAAATGTAGATGTTTCTTGGCCAGAAAGATGGCTCAAGAGGTAAAGTATTTGCTTCTAAGCCTGCCTGAGTTTGATCCTTGGAGTCTACATGGTAGAATCAGGACCGACTCTCATGAGTTGTTCTCTGATTTCCACACAAGTACCATGGCTCTTGTGTCCCTAAGCCACATACAAGTAAACAAGTAATAAAGACATTTCTTAAATCAGGCTGTACTAAAAGTAGAGTACAAAATATCTTGAAATTCAGATGATCTGTTGTAAGGTTTATCTCATAATAAGCTAGTCCTAAAGAAAAAAACAATTTAAATTAGAACCACAAATCTCATGTGATAAGACTTTATTCAAGTTTCTGGGGTCTCTGTGTGCTCCTCCAAGCTTTCAACCATTAACACCCCAAACCGATTGCTTCTATCATACCAGTGCCTGGTGTCTGAAGTGGTTTCCACTTTGTTCTTTGATTGGCTGGCAGCCTTTTTCTTCTGCCTCCTTTTTTTTGAGTTTGATTGAGGCTTTGGTAAAAATAATTCAGCTGGGGCATATTGCCTTGTGGCATTGAACAGGTTTTCATAAAGTTGCTTTGCCTTGGGACACATGTTCAGTAGGCTTTCTGCAGAGGTGGATGCTAGCAGTTGCTGGCAGAGTCTATGCACTAGGGTTCCACTGTACAGCCTGTTGAGTGGGAAAACAGCATGGTTTGAAAGTATCAGTTCAGTACAGTGGGACAACTGAGATGGACATTTTCAACAGAAGTATCTAAACACTCAGCTTACTGCTCCTACATCATCAGTAAAATTACTTACTGGAACTGAGTAGTTCAAATGAGTACTTTGGCTGGTGACATAAAACCTTGTGATCATGCTAACTTGGAGTTAATAGGCCTCTAACACTCCAGAGAAAAGGAATTTAATAAAATGGCTTTGTTAAACCAAATAGGCGGGCTATTACAATATCAGAAAATTGTAATGGCATTATTTGTATGGTCATTTGGAAAAAAGAAAAAAACACTACACAAATACAAAATGGGATTAACTAGAACCCCTAAGTTTAATGACTTATGGTCAGAGCTGATCAACCTGGTGTACTCTGGCAATCAGTGTAGGGCCCTCATTTAATAAATGCAACAATAATCCTGGAGAAAACATATTAAGGGATAAAAATGAGTGATGTTGTTACCCTGTTTTGTTGTGAAGAGAACTGTGGCATGTGGTACCCATAGAGAATCCAGTTAAGAATGACCAAAATTATCAAAGGAAAAGAAGGGGGGCGGGGAAGCCCAAAGATAAAAGGCCAGTTCATCAGACTTGTATGGAGGGTTTTGTGTTAGCTCAGATATGAGATCTAGAGATATATTGACAAAAGTAAAGCTGGGCTTACAGGTCAGTGGTCTAATCCATTGTTGCTATCACTTTTCCCTGGGCCCACATCTGTACCATCCAGCTTAGTGTTAAACTCTGGCACACAGGTTCAGCTCCCTTCTTCCTGTACTGTCTGATAAGACAGAACCCTAGAGAAAGCTCCAAGAGAACAAATTTTCTTTTTGTTTACTACACCATAGCACAGAGTAGGCATACAATTACTATTTGAATATATATATTATTTATATATATATATGGATATATATATATGAATAATACTATATCGAATGTACACACTGCACACACACACAGTGTGTGTGTGTGTGTGTGTGTGTGTGTGTGTGTGTGTGTGTAATACACCAGTAACAAGATGTGCCTAAGGGTAGAGTGGCAGCAAAAAGTCTCCATAAAGTATTGATTCAAACACCCAAAAGTATTGACAGGTAAAAGTTATATCCTGACTTCTGAAAAACTAAAGACAACTGAAACTGGAAATATTTTCCGTTTCCAGAGCTTCACTTACAACTGTGTTCTGAGATTGAGTACAGTAACACTGACTGTTGTCAAAGCAACTTGTTTTAGATATAGAGATATGAATCTGTGTGTACCCTTTGAACTAACGTTTCCCGTGATGCTTACTGAGTTAGGTCTGGCTCTGGGAGAGGGGTGGACAGCAGTTGGTTGAGATAGAACCCCATCTGGAGACAGCATTGCCACTGACAGAAGACATGAGCTGTGTCTAAATCCAGTCTTGCACTTGGCCGCGTGGGCGCCTTCACCCGCTGTAACTCTTCACACAGCGTCTTGGCACCACCTTCCTGTGGATCTTCCTCACCTAGATAAAGAAACCACCCAAAAGTAGCATCCAAAAGTCATTGCATCAGTTTGTACTTTCACTACAATCCAATATCAAAGCACTCAAAGACAACTGGTTTGAAAATTAGTAGCTTTTCTCGTTTCATAGATGCCAGTGAAAATATTTACACTGAAGGTTCCTCCTTTTCATGATGACTGTATTCAACCCCAAATTGATTTTTCCTTGAAATAAGATCTCTCTCATATATGCTACCTGACCTTAAACAAGTCTGCATGTAATTCTCTTAAGATCTGTGTCTATGAAAATAGGGCATTAAACATCATTCACTGTTTTTATCTGCTCATTCCTTTCACAGATGCCTCCATGGGGTACACATTTGTTCAAAGATAGCTCATCTGGTTGAAAGCACAGTTGGCCTGTTTTACAGGAGGAAAACTAAAGTATGAATAATCCATTGCTTCTTAACAGAAGGGGCAAGAACCACCAACCTTAGGAGATGCAACTTCTGCGGGTTTGTTTGAGCAGAGGTGCACAAAATAACTTTGGGACCAACTCGAAAGTAATAAAAAGGAGGCCCACCTTTCACAAATAGCAGGAAGCAAGGCACTGAGCCTGCCTGGGTGCGGGGTCCATATTTCCTAAAAGAAAACAAACAGACATGCCCCTTCTGTAGGACTCATGCAAAATCTTAATTGGCTCATGCTTTGGGAATTTCTGTATTTATTTAAACAGAACATAGTTTCAAACAGTGTTCTTTTTGTTTGTTTGTTTTGTGTTTTGAGACAGGGTTTCTTTGTATTGCTTTGGAGCCTGTCCTGGAACTAGCTCTTTAGACTAGGCTGGCCTCAAACTCACAGAGATTCACCTGCCTCTGCCTCCTGAGTGCTGGGATTAAAGGTGTGTGCTATCAACACCTGGCTCAAACAGTGTTCTTAAAACCATGAATGGGCCGGACATGTTTTGATTATCTTATACCAACGGTCTCTGTAATGGCTACTATTAGATCTGAGCCTGAATATTTGGGATGTTTTGAGTCCGTGCTGTTTCATTCTTAAACTCATAGAATACACCAAGGTAGGGCTATCTACAGAACTCTTACCATGATGGGACTATTTTGTCTGTACACACATGCCATTCATAATCTTTTAAGAAGAAAGTTGCATCAAAGAACTAAAATGTTCCAATGCTTCATTTATTTCACCCAATATTTAAACGCAGACAAAACTGTTATTTCTATAGTGGAAACAAGTTTTTATTTTTTTCTTTCCATTATTACTTATATATTAATTGAAACTTAATAGCCTTAAAGAAAGATAGATAGAAAACAATAAGAGCAAGAATACTGTGGTTGGAAGTACTGAGAAGTTTGATTTTCTTGTGCTGCTGCTGTATTTATGGTGATGTGGCAGGAATGAAATATAAAGTACAACTGGTAAAGCACTGTCACACTTCACTTACAGCCTCAAGTATCTCAGAGCAGACAAAGGTAGGCAGTCCTAGCACATCCCAGCTCTACACCTGGGGCCAAGCTCCTGGCTCTAAGTTCAGCACATGGAACGATTAGGAATATTTACCAGTGAAGGGCAATTTGGCACCTTCTAAGTTCTGTTGTAATAAGGGTCACCTGTTTTTTTGTTTGTGTGAATTCTTGAGGACATATAGTTTATACACTGCTTGACAAAACATTCCTGGATTTCTAGAACCTACCAGAGCAGTTGATGATGGCATGCAAGGGCTCCATCAGCATCCCCAGCAGTAAAGCCTGCAGATGATGGAGCTTTGCCTTGGCCTCTGTGGACTGCAACCAGTAACAAGTGACAGCAATGGGCAACTTCAGCAAAGCAGGGATGGACTCCAGGACAACGTGATTGACCTTCAGGGCTTCTAACAGAAGTATCTGCCGCCTAGCCAGGGGGAGCTGAAAACATTAAATATTCTGGAAATTAGGGACTTTTTTGTTTGTTTTTTGGTAGCATGAAGAGATTTAATTCAGCTGTGGAAGTTAATAAATTATGTTTGGTTATTTGAAGGACTGTACCTTCTGTGCCTTCTAAATAGCTTTTCTTGTGTTTCTGCCCCCCTCTCTGTAGAGCTGTGAGCATATTCAGTACACACTCAAGAATCTAGTTAGAAATTCAGTCCTGAGGCCCTACCCCTTAATTTTGATTCAGTAATCTGAGGGGAGTCTAAGAACTTATATTTTAACTGGAGCCTACATCCTTTACTATTGGAAACAAAGATCTGCATCAACTCTGCCCTTACTTGCTAGTGTGGATTTGGTACCACTTTCTCTGATGCCCTAACTGATAACCTCCACAAAATAAATTACAAATACCTCTGGCATTATGTCTAGTTAAGGGTATAGTGAAGTCAGGCAGGACAATCTTAATAACTTCCCATACTGTACCTTGATATACACAAATGCACTCACTTTTCCCTTACACTTTACACTAGAAGGTATTTCAAACACAAGCTGAGAAGTCAACAGCTATGGGAGCTTTGAGATGTTTGCTGATTTTCCTCAAATAAATCAAGATGTTGGGAAGTTTAAAGAACCTTACAGGCCACACTTTGATAAACATTTACAAAAGGAGTTGTACTCCTAATTAGAGAAATACCCTCCCTTCCAGAGGATGAGACAGTGGGGTACATTCTTAGCACTTAATGGGATTTTAGTATAGTGTGCCTGATAGATGAGATAAAATGTTAATTCAAACAAAAACACATAATTGTCAAAATAGTTACATCATTAATGTCTGAGGCCTTTAGATAGTCCAATGACTCTAAATAAATTTCAGTAATTTAATATTGTTAGTTTCAGTAGTATAGCAGCAACTCCCATTGTAAGTAGGACTCATACCTTATGTGAAAACAAATCTAAACTTCAAGTTACAACTTTATGAACAAAGTGGTCTAGGGTTTGGCATCAGAGATTATAGCCTCAATGGCTGGCTTTGGGCAAGTTTCTGAGGTTTTTCTAGTCATCTGTAAAATGAGCCTTACGTGCTGGAGTTGCATAGAGTGTTTTTTGAATGGCTGAGTCCTCAACACCTTCTAGAGAAGGAATTACTCTGCTTGTAGTCCCATCTGTTTTTCTCCCAAGCCTGTTTGGAACTATCCCATTATACCATTGATTTTTTTTTTTTTTGGCACATGAATCTACTGATATTTTAATTATCATCTGCCACACAGCCCTTCAGTCAGCGCCCCACCGGCCAAGGTCTGGTCCTGCAGCCATGGATATGGAGGCTTAAATTGAGTCTCTATCATTCTATTTATCAATAAGACTCAAGTCAAAGGCTGGGGTGAAAACCTGCTAGCTCAGAGAGGCTGAAGGTTGCAACTAGCTGACTTCATTTTTTTTTTTTTTTTTTTTTTTTTTTTTTTTTTTTGCTGCAACACAGTCCTCAAACTGTTATCTTTCCTGTGTGTCTTTTCTATCCAAATATCCCACAACATCCCATTTGGATTTGGTGGGAATTAAATGAGCCAATATGCAAGACTATTATGAGCTGTTGCAGAGCTAAAGTATTACATCATATTAAAAGCAGGGAAGATCACAAGGTTCTATACTTGAACCTGCATTTGTGTCTGGAAATACATTTGCACCTGGCATCACTTAGAATGGGCTAATTAGTTCTGAACACAGAACTAATTAACTCATGCCAAAGGCAAGCCAAATGGTATACCATGGTTCAAAGTGTATGAAAATTTCCTCTTACTTAAATACTAAGAAGGCTTTAGTTACCACTCATCAAGAAATACAGTCAGCATGCTATATTTCATTAATTGGATTAGATTTCATAACCAGAAAAATGTCCTGATCCCTATTTCACACCCTGCCCCTTCTGGACAGATTGTGAAAGGAAGAAGTAACTGTTTTCATGAGCCTGGGAGTAGATAGTTATTTCCTAAGAAGATCACAAAAGAGTAACCATAAGTAATAAAAATTTAAATGACTACACTAAAACTGTTTAATAAAATATATTACAGTGAAAGTCAGAATGGTTGGTCCTGGCCACAGAGTTAATTGACAAATGATCAGTAGGCCAAAAGCCCAGAAAAATTGTCAAAAGACTTCACACAGAATATCTTAATGGCTAAAGATCACAAGCAAGTCATCAGAGAAATACAAATTGCCCATCCAAATGACTAAGATGATATAACCCACACCAGAACAGCCAGAACATTTCCTGATAAACACCTAGTGTTGGCAAGAACACAGAAGGAGCAGTCTCCTGTGCTGCTGGTGGCAGTGTCAGTGGCCCAACTGTCAAGACCTTTGGACAAGACTTCTAGAGAGCTGAGCACAGTGTCTTTCCCACCCAACCCAGCAATCCCATGTATATGCCACAGAAGTATGTCCTCAGGTTCCAGGTGATGTGCAGCACAGTACTATTGACACTATCTGAAACAGCACAACTGGAAACTACCCAGAAGAAAAGTCATTCTTGGTCTACTCATTCTCACAATGCAGTGAGTTTCACAGAAACGAATGAATTAGAAGTGAGTCTCACAGATAACACTGAATGAAAGATGTCTGGTGGAAAAGATTCATTTGTAAAGTATATGTACAGATTAGATCCTGTGAGGAAGAAGGCTTTTAAGGGGAACTCCTTTGCTTTCTTTGACATATAAATAACATTGTTAGAAAATTCACTCCTTTAAAATACACAATCCAATAGTTTTTAGTACATATAAGGCTTGTACAGCCATTATTAACTCCAGAGCATTTTCATCATTTCCAGACAAGCACTGTTCCTTATTAGTAGTTCATTCCCAGGGCCAAGGATGCTTTTGACACCCACTTACGAATCTCCTTTCCTTGTGCTTATGCTGTTACTAGTGGAGAGGCTAAAAACACACAATGGGCATTTTGGGTCGCATAATTATTGTGGGGGTGCCAATCTATTTATTCTAAGAAGCTTAACATCCTTGCCTTATCCCACTAGATCTCAGTGGCAACTTCACCGTTTCCACACCCTAGAAAGTGACAATCACTATCACATGTCCCCTTGGGGATAAAACTAGAGGCCAGTAAGGTCTGATCACCATCACAGGGAAACTGGAGGCTATCCTTTACACTTGAATAGGCTTGTGCCAATAACCCTACGAGTCTGAGAGTGAATATTTAGTTGGAGCTAAAAAACCCAGTGGGCATTGCAACTGCCATTATAAGTTCATTTACATTTAGTTTGTATGTTTAATAGTGTTATCAAAATATGCAGTTTCATATTTGTTATTCTTAATATATTTACATATTATGAAAAGCAAAGGCAACACTGGGATCCATGAGAACATTTTCATCCTTGAAATGATGACTGATATGAGTGTTACTTTGACTTAAACAATACCAAGGTTGGCTACATGCTTTTAATGATGGGTTTAAGCAAGTCGCCATGATGTCACAGCCTTTTAGCCCCCCCCCATATAAATGTATATGTATGTATATAAGACAAAACCTTTAGACAGAAACATAAGTGTCAACCTTAACTCTGAGATAACCTAGGATGCTCTTATGCCCTTATCAAGTACATAAGGGCACTTCAGAATTTTTCCTTTTCCTCCTTTTAAAGTTATATAACCCTATTCTAGTTGGGATCAATACAGTACATTAACTGCAATAGAAGCAGGTTACTGAAGAACAACAAGAGTAGCAAACTTAGTCTATAAGTGCTAAGTTTGAATCTTAGTACTGACACTAGCTAAGAGATTACCTAGTTCACTAGAGTTGAAATTTTCACACACAATATAAAAGCATGATGGGAACCAATACATTATATTAAGAGAGACTACATATGAAAGCAACTTAAAATCTGTAAAGAGATTTCTAAGAATTTTATTAGTCTTACAAACTTACCTCAGTCAATTTCCTCGAGTCAGAATGATCCTTGAGCAGTTGTTTTGCATAAACAACTGATGTTTTGATATTTGTACTAATCCTTTCCACTTCTTTGAAAATCAGAGACTGAGAAGGCACTGTATTCTGGGATATATTTTGTGGATATGAGGCATTCAAAAGAAGCCCATAGATAATTTGCCGGATGGGCTGAGCTATTCTGTGGGCATTTGGTCGCTGCATATTTTCTACTTGTGTGTGAAGAAAGGTCCTTTGGAGCACCAAAGCATCACTGATGAAAGGTGGTAGCTGGCCTTTGGCTAGAGCTACTAGTACCCACTCTGGTAAGCCCAGATTCAAAGCGTCTGGACAGACATAGGTACCGTACTGAAAGAAGTCCTGCAGCTTCACCTGGGACGGCTGGTACTCCTCCATGGAACAGTAGAGAAGTTCCTTCACATCTTCTCGGCCCTTTTTGGGGAGATACTTCAGAACGTTATCTAGTGCTTCTGCGGGGTCATTAAAATGAGACAACCAGTTCAAAAGTCCCAGAACTCGGTGATATCTCCTCCCCTTAGAACTAAGAGAAAGGCGTGCTTTACTTAGGAATGTTTCTATGGTGGGCAGATTAACATGGTCATTTCCACACAGTACCGCAAAGAGAGGTAACAGAGCTTTGTTCATGTTGCTGAAGTAATGGCAGAATGCATCAAGGGAAAAGCATTTGGCAGGAATATAGTAATCTTGTGTATTTTTAACAGTGTTCAGATTTCCCCACTGAAAGCTATTCAGTGGGCAGAACCCACCTTTCAGGTCAAAAATGCAAAAGTCACTATCTGATGATAGCACAGGGCAATTCCAATGATTGGCAAGTGTCATAATGTCTCGATCTGCTTCTGAAAAGCTCTGGACAAAACATACCTTAAGCCTGATCAAAACCTGTATGAACACTTCTCGGATGAGTAAGGGACACACATTCCCACCCCCACCAACAGAAAGGGAATGGGCCGCATGGATCTTCTCTCTAGCTCGATCCTTCAAAGTTGTAAGCTTTTTATCAGAAATGTCACATCCTCCATCTAATACAACATATGGACAAATATGACAAGCAAACAGTGATTCAAAGAATTTCTGTACAACATTTGCAAATGAATCATAGTCCCCTCCATACCGGAGTTCCAAGTTTGAATTGAAGCAAAGTCGGTGAAAAAGAGAATAGCCATCAATGATAATTTTTGTGTCCCGCAATTTCAAATCAGTGAAGAATTCATTACTATAATCTTCCACGAAACTCATAAGTCCTCGGATGCCCATGATGACTGACAGAACTGCCTGTTGAAACAATAAAAAAGAGCAATTTGAATGGATGGTGCTTCTGACGGTTATTCTTGGTTGCTAATTTGATTATATCTGGAATCAACCAAGACTCAAGCTGATGGGTATACTGGTGAGGGGTTTTTCTTAGATGGGTATACTGGTGAGGGGTTTTTCTTAGATGGGTATACTGGTGAGGGGTTTTTCTTAATTGGATCATTGGAGGTGGGAAGACCCATCTTAAATCTAGGCCACACCTTCTGGTGGAAGCCTATATAAATGACATGGACAAAGAAAGTTCTTGCTTATTGCCCACTTGCTTTCACTCTCCCTGGCATTAGAGCTTACTCCTTCAGGGTTCTGGTGGGTACCGAAGGCCAGCTGGCATATCCAGTCTCATGGACTGAGCAGCTGGGTGATGGAGATATCATTCTGTATATGTTTATCATACTGGTTTAATGAATAAAGCACTGTTGGCCAATAGGAAAGCAAGATAGGCGGGACTAGGAGACAAGGAGGATTGGAGGAAGTAGTAAGGAGGGTCAAGATGGAGAGTCTGGAGAGAACAGGACGGCCATTCCTCCGCTCTCGGTAAGACCACGTGGAAATACATAGAAATGGGTTAATATTTAAGACAGAGCTAGCCGATAAGAAACTAGTAACGGGCCAACAAAATTATATCAGCTGGGTTCTTGGACTTTTTGTTGGGAGACAGCCATTGTTAGAACTGTCGGACCACTGACTTTTAGCCACTCTAATCCTGTCTTTCTCTGTCTGTATGTGTAGATAGATCCTATAAGTTCTGTTTCTCTAGAGAATCCTGACTAGTACCAGATCACTGCTTCAATAGAAAATGAAACATGCTCCTGCTCTTTAAATAGACAATCTTGGGTGTCTCTAGCTGAAAATTTTTCCTTGTGTGGTACAAGACACAAACTCAGTCGTTTCATGGGGTTTGATCTTTGGTTGGCCTCACATGAACACTATGGTCACACCAACATAGAAAAGTCTACGGGTTTTGCTACTGATGTTTCCACTATCTGTTTGGTGAGGGTCAAAGCAAAAAGTCCTAAGCTATAAAAATGACACACTTATCAATGTTATAAATCTCAGTGTAGGGCAATAAGAATCCACTTTTTCTTTATTATGGATAAGACCCTTGTTACAGGTCTTGAGTAGGGGGGGGTGTAAAGTTTATTGGGGGGATACTGGATAGTAGCTGGGGGTAAGCAAAAACTATGGATCTAAGACCCCAACTATCCAATTCCAACCCCAATTATTTACATGCTTTTCTGGCTAACAAGTAATAGGACTGGTTGATTACTGGTTTTCCCTCTGGCCTCAGACTTCAAATATAGCTTAAAAATCATGTTTTTTTTTTTTTTTTTTGCCAATGTTGAAATTTTGCTCTTATTTATTTATTTATTTAATTATTTAGTTTCTTGATGGGGTTTCTCCGTTTAACTGCCTTGGCTGTTCTGGAACTCACTTTGTACACCAGGCTGGCCTCGAACTCACAGAGATCTGCCTGCCTCTTCCTCTTGAGTGCTGGGATTAAAGGCGTGAGCCACCAACCACCCATCGAAGTTTGGCATTTTGATTTTTAGAGATACTACGTAAAATCTCATCACTCTGAATTTTTCGTTTTGAGCATCTGCTTACATTTCACCTCACTTTAGATCCACCTCGGCCAACACCTCAGCACTTTTAATTCTGAACAGTCATTCCTTTCCCGGTCTGTCTTTGTGGTTTCTACAATTTCACAATTCATGGTAGCTAATGCCATGACCTTGCATGGAGTAGCTCGACAAATGCAAGCCAGGGAGGACAATGGTGCGCAAACCTAATTCCTCAAATACAGACCTTCCTACCCCAAGCCACCCCGTCCCTCTCAACCCACCTGCTGCTTCCTCCAGGCGGCCTACTCCCTTCATCAGCAGCAGCTCGTGGGAGCCAGGGGGGACTGACAGGCGCACTGGTGAGTTGAAGAGCGCGAGCGGAAACCGGAAGTGCCTGGGGACGACGTCACTGGGAAGCCTGGCTTCGGGAAGCAAAGGGCGCTGCCGGTAGGGGAAAGTGTTATCGGACCGGTGGCGGTGACCTGGCGCTGAAGGTTGAGATGTTTGTCCCACGACTGCGACCACTTCCTCCGGGAAGCTCGGCCCGCCTCGCCACCCCCACCCTTCGCTCCGCCTCATTGGGTCTCCGGCGCTTCCGCTGTGGCCGAACCTCGGCCTCCCAGCAGCCCCCGCGCCGTCTCCGTGGCAACCGTGTCAAACAACCACGCCTGAGGCAAGGAGCTTTAAGCTGAGGCCTGGGTGGGCGTCGTTGGTCAGGGACCTGGAAAGGTAACTAAAGTGGGGCTCGGGCAGCCGGGCCCCGCATCCCCCGGGCCCCATTCCCCCTCGGGAGCATAAGCGCCCAGCCCCACGACGTACATTCACCTGCTTCGCGAAAATTAAGGGAGTTGTTCCTTTTACCTCAGGGTTAGAGTTTACCTCTCAGATTTAGCAGAACCCGAAGAAGTCAGGACGGCTTCCTAGTGCTTGTTATGAGAGCATATCCCACCCGCGACAAACACTTGGTTTTGCCTTGGCCTGCGTCAGCGGGATGGGTCGTTTTCACTAGGGATGGTTAGCACAAAGTGAGCATCTGTCCGCTTTATCCAAGTTCCCATCCGGCTTTATTTCCTTTTTTTTTTTTTTTTTTTTTTTTTTTTTTGTCTTTGGACCATAGTCGATTTTCTGGACCCTTCCTTGCTCTCCAGACGTTTACTGATCCTGTATGTCAGCTGTTAGCCAGGCATCAGGGATACAGCGATAACATGTGTTCCCAGCACCCAAGTTCATCCCCGCCCCAAGTTTCAGTCCCAGGCTGCAGTAAATGTATATTCCGTGGTTATGGACAGGGACAAGAGTGATGGAGCTGAGCTGGGATTAGCCTGGAGGTGATGCCTACACACTGCCGGGTTTATCTCTCTATTCCAAATAGAACCTTTTGGCCCTCCATCTTGAGTTCTGTCCCTAACCCTCTCCACATAAAGGAGAACTATTAGTGATCTAAAGGGCCGTGGTTAGGCCATACATTTTCCCAAACAACTTACTTTATCTAGAAATCACCAATTTCATGCCAGTCCAAAAGCAAATCTTTTAGAGGCCTACTCTTTTAGGTGCTGTAGATTTTCCTAACATTTCTTTGACAAATGGACATTGTTCCCTCATCAATATATCCTCTCAATGGGACTGGATGAAACAACAGATTAGTACATTATTTAAAGAAGACAATATTTCAACTGGGTCTTATATTTCTGTTTTGCAAATTTTCATGTTTTATTGCCCTGGCAAGTTTTGTGTTTGCTCTTGTTGCTTTGAAATTGTGAATATGAAATACATAGTATTCAGTGTAAAATCATATTTTCATATAGACTTAAAAGAAGCAAAAATTTCAATTAAACGTTTAACACTTGGATGGAATAAAAGTGTGTTCTCTGGAATGCCTTCTCATGAAGCAGTTTTGCCATTCATAACTGTCATATAGTTCATAGTTCCTTGAGGAATTATGGCTTTGCCTATAATACACTTATATACACCTAGCTACCTTTAGAATGCAGTTTTAGGTCTGAGTTGCATTTTGTTACTTCTAATCCAAAGAGATTACTCTGCACCTAGTATAATAGAAACAGAATCAGATTGTTCTTAGGATGAAAGGGAGAAAAAAAAGAAAAACCTCACTCTGAATTAATATTCCTCCATATATCTAGTCTAGTAAACTAACAAACTGTGATTTGAAGTCTACATGGAAAAAATACAAACGAAAGCAGAATATGCTAATTCACGGTTTGACTCCAATTTGCTTTGTTTGTAAGCCAAAGTAGACACAGACAGAAGAGAGAGTCACAAGAAAGTGGATACAATATGTCCATTGAGGAAGACTTGGTCCTATGGTTTGGATTATTTTTTAAGTTGATGGGGAGTATAAATATTTAACAGAAAATTATAAAACAGATACACATTTCAGAAGTCACTAAAAATTTGGTTGTAAATCCAGGGAGGCTGTCTTTCTATGAGAAAGTACCTTTTAGAGTCTGCAACCCACCAACACATGAGCGTGTGTGTGTGTGTGTGTATATATGTGTGTGTGTGCGCGCGCGCGCGCACATGCTCACTAGCTGGTGTGATGACATAGATATGAGGCAGGTATCATTATCAAAAGCTTATACTTTTTTGTAGGAGTCCTATAGCTGTTTTTCGACATGATCCATGGATTTCACATATTTCCGGCATCAATCAACACTTGCCACTTGAATCTCTGACCATCAGCTGGGAGGCCTGACTGTTTCTGTGAATGAACCCACCAGTTTTAACTTGCGTTGAGCAATGCTGAAATTCCAAGAGACTACTAAGTGTGTGAGTGGAACCACAGCCATTTCAAAGTATCCAACTACCTTGATTGCAAGAAGATATGTTCTGCAGCAGAAACTTGGCAGTGGAAGTTTTGGAACTGTCTATCTGGTGTCAGACAAGAAAGCCAAACAGGGAGAGGAGCTGTAAGTAATACAGTGTTCAAGTCTGTGTGTAGCTCAGGCTAGGCTGATTTTAGAACATGGTGTCATATTTGCAGGAAACTTCTAAACACAGAAAAGGCCCTTCACTGGTTTCTCTTTGTATACCCCAACCCCATTTGCCTTGAAGTCACAAAGATTTGCTTTAAAACTGAGCTACACTCCCAGCCCCGGATAGGATTATAAAAAACAATATACATTTCAGATCCCAATAAAGTATTCAAGTGACCCAGAGATGGTGAATAGGGTAAATATGTAAAAATAACTTTTTAATGCATACCACAGTCTCATGGCAAAAATGTTCCCACTGACCTTGGCTGGGACTTTTTCAATGAGAAAAGACAAATTCTTCAAGATGATGATTATTTTTAGGAATGCCTCAACATGAAAAAAAAATCAGTAATTCACATGCAAGTCCCTGCAGCTTCATGCAAAGTAAATGGGCTATAATGAGGGAAAGACTGTGTTTTCTTTGAAGAGCTCTTCAGAAACTATAGTCAGAAGCTAGAAATGTAAAACAAATGGATCTTCTCATTCAAAACCAGTTCACATTAATGGTATCCTTGTCACCTCTAATTTTGCTCAGCCCTTATAAACTCTCATGGTAGGGGAAAACTCCTGATACCATTAGCTGGACCCCCTCTTACAGTTAAGTGTCCATTTTAGACATTAATCTGTTTTCTATTTGTTGCAGTTAAAAGTTAGCTAGAATTGAAGTCAGTTGGCAGAGTGCTTGTCATGCAAGGATAGGACCCGAGTGTGATCTCTCGAACCCACATAAAACAAGCTAGGTGTGATGGCGTGTACTTATAATCTCAATGCTGGGAGTCAGAGACAGATGGGGCCCCGGGGCTAGCTGGCTGCCCAGCAAGGAAAACTGCCAAACTCCTGCTTCAGTGAGAGACCCTGTCTCAAAAACAAGGGGATTATAAACTGAAGAACAATGAGACCTAAGGTTCATTCCTGCCCCCCCCCACACACAGAGGAAACATGGGAGGAATATGAAACAAAGGCCCCTGGAAGATCAAGTTTCTACCCTAGTGTCTACTTTCTTTGGCACCCTCTGGCTGCTGTAACTCCTTCCAACCTTTTCTCCTTGGATATTTAAGTATGGTTTGAAAATCAGCATGACAAATGAACTTCTATTGTAGGAATTATAAAACTGTTACCAATGGTTTGTTTTAAAGGTCAATTTTGAAATTGTATCCATGTGTAACAGTTGATCAGGTTGTTGTTATCTGGAATGCAGAGTTCTCAGTAAGTTCCAGCATGAACAAAGGTGAAAGCTGGTGTTTTCTGGGTTCTTAGAGCATGAGTTATGCTATATATTTGTTCATTTTCTTGATGCCATGACAATACACCTACAAAGCCACTTGAGAAAGGATCGAGGCAATGTGGTCTGTCATGGTAAGTCATGGCTTTGGAAGTGAGAAGTAGCTAGCACATTGTCCCTACAGCTTCATCAACATGGATGGGGACTCAGCTCTCTCCGCATCATCATCTTATTGGGTCCAGAACCCCAGTTCATTAGATGCTGCTGCCCACATTTGAGGCCAGTCTTCCCTCCTCAGTTAAACATCGCTGAAAGAACCTTCTCAGACACGCCAGAGATGTCTCCTAGCTAAATTCTAAATCTGTCAGGTTGACAATACAAAGTATTCCATGTTCTTTCTGAAAAGGACTTTCTCCTTCAGTTCTAAGGGTGGTATTTTAGCCACACAGAGTGAATGCTAAAACTCTAATAACTTCTAGATGAAATTTTGTTCCAAAAGAGTTCCCAAGTCTGCTTTATATTATTTTTACAATGATCCCCTCACCCTGGTACTGCTGACACTTAAGCCTTTGGTTTATGAGCAGGCTACCTCATCAGCACCCCTCATTGTCTTAAAATTTGACCTCTGCTTTATGTACTAGACCACAGATAGAAGGAAGTGATGCTTTAACTAGGCAAAGGAGAATGCTTCCTGAGATTTCTATAATGTTGTGACTACTGTTTCCTTAGCAGATCAAAGCAGATCTCCCTAATATTAAATACTAAAAGAATTAACTTGAACATCCTCCTGGCATGATCTTGGATGTAAGACATTTATTATTGGCCCCTGAGAAATACAGGCGCATGTAATATACTCTTGTAGAGACAATGAACTTGACAAAATGGACCACAGCTTCTGGTCCTCCCAACAGAGCCCTGAAATTCATCACTTCACCACTTGGGGGCACTATACCATCATTGACATTTTATGTATACTAGAAACTTTAATTACAACGTAAATGTAAATACCACATTCCTTTAAATTTTTATTGCTCTCCCTAGTAGCTGTGGGATAAAAATAAAAGCTGTAGGCATTATGCTTGATGAGTGCATATTTGGAGAGAGTTTTCCTTGGGTACAGATAGCTAGCATTCTTTTTTTTAGTTATTGCAGTAATAATAAGATTAAACTGTCATTGAGTAGTGAATGAGAACGCTGTTTCTTCCACTATGACATTGTGCATCATGAAATTTAGAAATATATTTTGTGGAGTATTTTTCTTTCATAATTGTAGACACTTTGGTCTAATGGATGTAATTATGTTCTAAAAGAATATTGTAGTTCAAATTTCAGTTTATATTTCCATTAAGTTGCCAAAACATTTTTAAAAGAAAACCCCAAGGATTTTTTGTACATAAAATTATGTGTATCTATGGGATACCATGTGATATTTGAGTATCTGTATACATTGTATAATGTTAAAACCAGTATAAACACATCTCTCTCCCAATATTATCATTTCTTTGTAGGGACGACATTGAGATTCTCTCCATGAAACAGAACTTATTTCCCCCTCTTTTCATCATCACTACTAGACTTTTCTAGTCCTTTTCCGTCTCTGCTAAGCACTATTGGGCTCTCCTCTCTACTTCCATGAGGCTAACATCTGGATTCCACATTTGTGTGAAATTCCGTGGCACCTGTCTTTCTGTGTGGTACTTAGACTTCCCTTCCAGTTCTGGCCATGATGTTGTGATGCCAGAACTCATCCCTTTAAGATGGAGAAGTATTTCACTGTTTCCACGTGCTGTGCATTACTTCCTAACTCATCAGTTTCTGGATGCCCAGGTTGATTCCATTTCTTGGTTATTAGGATTACTGTTGCAATAAACATGGGAATGCAGGTGTCTTTTTCAACCTGTTTTTCTCTGGTTTTGTGCTTATTGTGGGATTGCTGTGTTGTAGAATAGTTTTACTATTAATTTTCTGAGGAACCGCCATGTTATTCTTCATAAAAGCTGTACTAATTTTACATTCCCCCCCCCCGCAGAGTATGTTCTTTTTCTCTGCATCCATACCATCACTTGTTTTCTTCTTGGATTTTTATAATAACCACATCAAATATAATGAAGTAGTATCCTATTGTGGCTTTAAGATACATTTGCCTAGTGATTAATGATGTTGAGTACCTTATCACATACCTGTTGTTGATTAGCATGCATTCTTTGAGAAATGTCTATCTCCCATTGTGTATGTCTATGGGGGGGATGTGTGTAAGCACATGCGTGTATGTGCAGTGCACATGCCTGTGCAGTCCATAGGCAAGGATGACAGAGGAGGACATCCTGTTCCATCTATTCACCTTGGGATGGGATTTCCTTGAGACAGGGTCTCCATTTTAAACCATGTTGTTTCACCGTTATTTTTTGCTATCAAGTTTTAAAGTTTCTTATGAATTCTAAATATTGACCTTTGGAAAGATGTAAAGGCAAACACAAAAGATTTGGGTGGGCTAATAACATGTACTTTGGTTTAATACAATGGACAGAATTTAAAAGAAAAGAGATGTTAAGATTTTAGTTATCTTCCTGTCGTGCAACAAAAGGCCTCACAGAAGCAACTTAAGGATTAACTGCGTGGTTCTAGAAAATGCAGGGCATGATGGTTAGAAATGGATGATAGAGCTCATGGCAGTGGGAACCTGTGGCTGGGACTCTTCACAGCTCCACAGATAAAGATTCAGAGGGCGTGGCTGGCTTTCTCCCTCTTTTCTTGTTTTCAGTCCAGCCCCCTAGACCATGGGATGGTATTGTCAGCCAGCATTCAGGGCAGATCCTCCTCTGCTAATCCTCCCTGGGAATGGCCACAGGCACATCCATAGGTGCTCCCCACTCATGAGTCTGTGTTTCTTAGTCCCGTCAGGCTGCCAGTGAAGATTAATCATTTCACAGGTTTAACCTAACATGCATGGTTAGATGCATGATCATTACGTCCACTGCTGTAGTAAATCTCAGGCTTTACCACCATGGAAGGTGTCTGGCTAGAGGTCATTTTTAAAAGTTTCACCATACTTCTGTAAAGTTGCTTTTGTGTCATAAGTCTGTTTTAGTTTGCCACCTAGCAACTATTTACTACAGCTTAAACGGTGAACTTTGCCCTGGACTCGGCACCAGAACCTGAGGCATTAGGAGATAAGATTTGGTCATTCCACCCACAGAGACAGAATAAACATACATAAAAGAGCAATGGTGCAGGACACAGCCTTGGTGTCTGTTGGTAGACTTCTCTCAGAGGAGCTGAGCGGCTGCTGTCCAGCTCTTTCTAGGTAATTTTAGTCATCTTTCTAGTTGTCATCATTACATAAGAGCTTTAATATTTTACCCATTGTCTTGTCAGCTGTGACTAGGGAAGTCTGGAACTTTAATGCTAATTGATTTCAGAGCTTACATCCAGTAGGCCCCTCTTCCTTATTTCCTGGTGAAAGTTCCGGGTGCCTGAATGTTCAATCAGATGTGAAAATATTTCTGAATAAAGTTAATGGGATAATTGACAGTTATTTACTTATACCAGGTAAACAGTGTCTTCATCATAATGTGAAACTTCTTCCCTGGGTACTATTTTTTTGTGGAAATTCTCAGTGTCTCTGTCTTCTGAATAGCTCTGGTTATACACACAGGCGTCTTTAGGGCTTCCCCTGTCTCAAACTGAAAATAATGTGCATACAATTTATGAG